GGGCTGAGCTGCCAGCTGGGGTTAAACTATGACCAAGTAGTAGAAGAACAGAGCAGCAGTCACTTCAGAAATAGCAACCTGTGTATGCTAGAGGAATAACAATACTAGCACTATGGTTCTAATATCAGAAAAGATAAGATTTCCATTTTCTCTGGCCACATCCTGGAATTAAATCTCTTGTCTCCCACGTTGTGACACTAACACTGATATCATCTTAGTGTCTTATTCGGGCCTGCAAAAGGTCTACTCCAGATCCCACACACTGGTAGACAGAATCCCAAGACTGGGCTTTGCATTCACAGCATGATTGTTCCAAATGAACAGAAAAATCCACACAACATCTTTAGGCTATTTGTTTCTGAATAGTTTTTTTTAAATTTTATTTTCTTAGAAATTACAAAGAAACTCTCTCCAGGAGAGCAAGGAAAAAACCCAACCCTGAAATATTTCCAAGCAATTCTGTTCCATACAAAGACAAGCAAAGTTACACATTTCATTCACATGCATGTACAAAAACATTTCAAGTAAAACATCCTTCACACATAACATGTGCATTAGTCTCACAACTGAGCACATAATCAGATTTGCCTCACCTACCCTACCTAATCTTATTTTCCTGTTTTTTTTTTTTAAATTGTGAATTCTATGCAGGAAACATTTCTTTTTTCTGCACAGCATGATGCATATTCAAATTAGCATGGATGGTCTTGGAATTAAATCAGTAGGTAGCACATCCTGACATACAGCTGCATGCTGAAGTTGTTTCACTCCCATTTCTGCAGTGAACTTTGTTGGACACCAGGCAAAACTCTTCAAAAGGAATAAAAAGGTATTGCTGGAGGGGAAAAGGAATATGATACACAGTGCTCTCTTAACTACAATCCTGTACGATTCCCATGCAAAATACTTCAAAAGCCAAGTCATTTGCAGATCTTGCTCTCCAAATTGATACCACAGTTCCCACCAATTTCAATCATGGCAAAATAAATCACTGAAGACATCAATGGTACCAGGTATGGATGTGGTCAATACGCAATATTCCAATTTGTCATCCACCCACCTTTGGAAAGATAAGGGAAAAAGATGAAACAACCAACAAAGCTACAGACTGCTGAAGCTTTGTGGGTTAGCAGAGCACTTTACCAGCAACCAGCCTAAAACAACAACTGCGAGAGCTGAGCTTCATTCCAACCCACTGCATAATCTGTGGCTTGAAATCTGGTGATTACATGGCTAATGAACTCCTCACTAGCTGCCCAAGGCTGCATTAACACCTAGCAAAATCTTATTTGATTAATCAAAAAAAGTATATTGACTGTATCTGAATTTGTGAGCTAGATCTGAAATTCCAGTGTTTCATGGAGGTTGGACACCACTGTAAACCTAAGGACAGGAAAAGTGCAGAGGGGAAGGGCTCACCCAGAAGGTAAAGCTTCCAGGTGCATGAAACATCAAGCACACAAACATCAGGAACAGCCCTTGGCATAAGGGGGGGAAAGGGAAGTGCAGATTTTACTCTGCTGTTGTTTTTAAATGTACAAGCGATGCTGGTGCTTTTCTCATCTCTGCACAAACAGGCACCCAAAGGGAAATCAGCAACACCTCTCTCACACTGCAATGACTCAGCTGAATCCATGGACCATGAGTTTCCACTGTATTTAAGTATACTTGAAGCAGTCAGGCTTGGCTTGTTGCAGAGTGTGTGCTACAGGCTGAAATGGGTGTGGAAAAGGGATGTGAAATACAACGAACTCAGAAGGAAGAGAACACCCATGTGCAAGCAATAGAAAGAAAGCACTTAAATCTGACACTGAGGAGTTTTAACTAAAGCCCTGGAGAACAGCAGAGTTTCATTTTAAGACCACTCGAAATCTTGCAAATGAGCAAGCAATGCTGGCAGCAGCCACTCTGTCCTCTAGCTCCTGAAGATATGTCTTCAGCCAAGGTGGTCAAGTTGAACTCACTTTATGGGCACACAAAGGAAAAACAGACATTTCTAAAAATGCCACTCATCTGACTGGCTTCATATTTTTACTTCAAGGCCAGATGAATGGTGAGCTAAGAATTACTATTCTTCTTCAGCTGCAAATGGAACAAGTTTAGCTGCAGACATCTAAAGCTGAGTGACAAGGTATTGCCCTAAATGGCTTCCTTGTACCTGGGCAGCTGAACAACACAACTGGCTGTATTTCTGCATAAGTAGTTTTGCTTCAAACCAGTATCATACAGGTCAGCAGCACTGCAGCATCCATCTAAGCATTCTTCAGCCAGCAACAGTCCTACCCAAATGGAAGAAAAGCTCACAACTCTCACAAACTCTCTGAATTATGATGGTGCGTTTTCTGAATAGTAGCTAAATATCAAACACAGGTCTGAGAAGCAAATACTATTATTCTCTTTTTTAACTGCTGAAGAAACAGGGATATTGCAGCATGCCTAATGGTGAATCAGAGGGAGTCAAAATAAAGATTTCCTGATACACACATCCACTGTTCTACTACTGACTAGGCTTCAAATAGCTAGAATTTACCCACCAGGAGAAACGTTTAAAACTGTGATGGAGCATTTTAACTCCAATGTCCATAAAAGGCTGTGGTCACAAGTTCTTAGTAGACATTGAGGGATTTTATGTTTGGCTTCCACTTCTATAAAGTTGAAGGTAAACACAGTTAGGGAAAAAGTATTAAGGCTAGGCATGTTATACAGAACAAAAATACTATGCCTGGAGCTCATTCTTTCAAAAGATAAACTCGCAATTGTGAGGACAAATGGGAGGTTTGGTAAAGCTCCCTCAAACATCCCAATAGGTTACAGGTACAAAGCCAGCTTAAGTGGCTGTTCACTCTTGATTCATGTTCATTCTAGCTTTTTTGAGAGATGCTCACTGAATCAAGTTAAAGACTGAGTTGATCAACTGAGGATTGTGCAGAACAAAAAAAATGCCATCAGTCAGCTGAGCCATAAAAGCAAGCAGCAAAATAGATTCTGTTACAGACTAAGTTGTCAAGATAACAACTTCGAATAGGAAACCTCAGCTAGCCTGAAGATGCTGCACTTAATCCAATGGGAGCAAAGGAAGAGTTTGCATTGCCAGTACTGGCTCATACCGTTAGGAAAAGCTCCTTCATTCTCTCCAGAAACCCACATCAGCTTCCCTGACTAGATGATCAAAAAAATCAACTAGAGAAGATGATCTGCTGGACTTGTTACTAACAAGGAAGAACTGGTGGAGGATGTGAAGGTCTTGTCTGCAGTATGCATGTAATTATAGTATTAAAAATCCTGAGAAATGTGCACAAGACAAATAGAGTCCTGGACCTTTACAACAATGTATTTTGGTTTATTCAAGGAACGCCTTGGCAGGACCTCAAAAGGAACTGCCCAGGCCTCCAAAACGGGCCCACAAGTGCTGCCATAACTTCAAAGACAGCTTTCTCAAAGTAAACAATAGTCCTTTTTGAGCAGGCATGCCAGAAGGCCAGCACAGATGATCAAGGAACTCCTGCCTGAGCTCAAGCACACAGAAAGAAGCACAGAGTGGAAGTGAGGATGGGCTGGCCAGCAGGGGCATACAGATAGACAGACACAGCCAAGCATGCAGGGACACTTAGGAATGTCAAAACCCAGCTGGAGTTCAATCTGGCAAGAAAAGTGAAGGGCTTTTTTAAATGCACTGGAAGCAACAGAAAGGTTAAAAAAACCATGGGTTTTACTCTTCAATGGTGCAGGCAAACTGGTGACAAAGGACATGCTTTGTGGCTGATGGACTCAGTATCTTTTTTGCCTGTTCTCACCATAAGGGCTGCCTGCAGGCCTCCCAGGTCCCTGGCTCTACTAGCAGAGCATCACCTACAGCAGAGGAAGACGGAGTTAGCAAGAACTGAAGCCAATCTGACATACCTAAGTGCATGGAACCAGAAAGGATGCACCTGAAGGCACTGATGGAGCTGGTTGATGGCACCGTGAGGCCACTCTACAGCATCTTTGTAATGTCAGCAGCAGCAGCAACAGCTCCCAAACCACTGATATATCCTGACTTAAAACTGTCTTGCTGCCCACAACAGTTAGCGAGAATGTAGCCAGCACATTGAGGGGAATTATTATTGCTCTCTGTTCAGTGCTTGTGAGACCATATCTGGAGGCCTGTATACATTTTTGTGCTCCCTCACCACAACAAGAGCACTGCAGCAATTTCAGAGGAAGGCCACAAAGCTGTTTAGGACAGGACATACAAGGGGAAGCTCAGGGAGCTTGGTTTCTTTTCAGAGCAGCCTAAAGAGAGATCTCATTCTATAAAACCACTTGATGAGCAGGTTAGAGAAGACACTCAGACTTTTTTTGGAGATGTACAAGGACAGAACAGAGGCAATGAGCACAAGCTGGAACACGTGAAATTCCAACTGGATGCAAGAATATTTTTTTCTCAAGATTAGGGCAGTCAAATTTGGAAAAGTACCTAAAGAGGTTTGATATCACCATCCTTGGAAACATTCAAAAGTCAACTGTACAAGACCCTGAGCAACCTGATCTAACTGGTTGTGCTTCAAGCAGGGGGTAGGACTAGACACTAGAAACCTCAAGACATCGCTTCAACTCAAATTATTCAATGATTCTATGACTTAGCAAATATCACAACTGCTTTCCACTGGTAACTTCCTCATTACCCTGCTAAAGCAAGCCATGTACATCATCAAATGGATAGGGTGATCTTCAGTCTTCTGGGTCAGGATGGAATACAGAAGCCAGTGAAGAGGGGAGCTGAAGTGGACTAAACATCAAAAGTCTCCTAATAATTATATGCAAGGTCCCTCATACACCGAGGCCAGCCCTGTTGATGAGTCACAGTGCTCTCTTAGTTCATTTCAAGTTTATGACATACCACCAGGATTAAATAAAAAGATTGCCTCTTCTCACATCTTCTTCATCTTTTTCTTGCAGCGCTGGTTGAAGACAGGTGAGGATCCCATCAGACTGTCAGCAGAATGAGAACCATAGCTGCTCTCAGAGCCATTGGGGCTCTGTGGCATCCCAGCTTCACTCATACCTGACATCGGTTCCTCAAAGACATCACTGCCTAGGACCCCATGGCCATGTACATTGGCCTCCTCATTTTCCTGTGGTTCCATTTTGACCTGTGCCAAGTTCCAGAGAGGGGAAGCATTCACCTCAGCCCCTAGAGAAAGAAAACACATGCAGTAGTAACTGAGTAAGAAGACAAATTACCTTGCATGCAGATGCAAGGGACAGCATCTCTGGTAAAGAATGAGTAAAAGCAAAGCTGCAAGTGAAACAGGCTGGGGAGGAGAGAAAAAAAAAATAAAATCAAACAGTGTGAAACACAAAATAAAAAAAATCTGTTGGCCTTTTTTCTCTAACAGCCCAGTAATTGCTGCTTTAGAAATACAAAGCTATCCTTTCACAGCAATCTTCCACTTGGTTTTTTCCATCAGAAAGAACAACTTAAAAAGCCCACATCACTCTACAGGAGTGTCTCAGCAGCAATGAGCACGTGGACTAGACTAGATGATGAGGTCCTTGCAACATCAGCAACCTCCTTTAAGCTGTGAGATGTAGTAGACCTCTGGTAGTTCTGCAGGGGATGCGCAGGGAGAGCGCAGAGGAGCAGGTAGATGAACAGTCTCAAATACCACTTCCAGCACTGAAATGCAGGGACATCAAGGCTGCAGTCATCCACCTGACTGCCTGCCTCTTTGTACTCAACACCTGCAGGTCTCATCTCATCCTTCAGCAGAAGCAGAAGAAACTCTCTTGGCTCAACCTCAAGAACAAAATACTGGGAAATAGCCCCCCCCCTCCTCCCTTCCTTCTTTCTTTTCAAAACTTTTGGACTAATGTGATCTGAACAGATTGAGGATTTTCTGTACAAGATTATTAAACTATCCTTCTTGATAACACCACATGTTTTTATCCCCAAGAGCAGTATTTATAGATTGTATTATTTCTGCTTATTTACAGTTTTAAAAATGACAAAAATCCTATTAAAAATACACTAATTGGGCCCCTTGCTGACATTGGCATAAACAGCCCAGGACTGAACAAAGCCTGAAATCCCCTCACTTTTAAATCTGGTCCCTCTTGTGTGTGGTTAAAGTTACATGGGAGAAAAAAAAAAAAATAAATGGATTAACTCCCCCTCCTGCCCAAAAAAACCCCCAAAACATCAGTTTTAGCAGGCTTTCCAAACCTTTCCTCTCAAGAAGCTTGGCTAGAGTTTGAAAGCACAACCAACCCTCTTGTAATAAGCTGAACCTACTACTATTCCCTATTACCAATATCCTACTAACAATAGTCTCTTATCACTAGCAATTACCCAGAGAACAAACCTTCCCTCCCCCACATGTTTGTACTAATCTTTTCCAGAGCAGCTTAGCCCAAATGAGGGTTTAGGAGACCTTTGTGGTAACACAGCCCACATTAGCTCAGCAGTTAGAAAGCAAGCCAGAAGAAAAGAGCTTGCTGATGTCCAGTGCCTTAATGAAAAGTCCCTTTTATGTTAGTTAGAAATAAATGTATTCCTCTCAACAACAATGGACACATCATTAAAACACTGTCAGTTCCACAGAGCTGCAGCTCCAGCCTACACAATAATCAAAGGTGCTCACTAAACTTACTGTGTCTTCCTTTCATCAACTGCTCTTGATTGCTCAGCCTTATTCCTTTCAGCTCTATCACCTGTCATTGAGAGTGTCACTAATGACTAACAGTACTTAACCATCGTTTCATCTTCAAAGCACTTTAACTTCAAAGTACTTTACAAATGAGCTAATCCTCACGTTATCCTGCTGGGTGGAGGAACAAGGTCCCCAATTTTGGCCTCCCTTTCCCCTCCTGCAATGAAATTAAGCAGCTAGCCCACAAATGCAGTGTCAGGCATAAGCAAAAAACAAGCAGAACACTGTAACAACCGTTTTGCCCTCACTCACTGAAGCCTTGCTGCCTTCCCTACGGGCCTCACACTTGTATTTTTGAGCTGGTAGCATCCCAACTGCAACAGCTTTTTCCTCACTCCTTATGATATTACACTCTCCAGCCTGCCCAGCTCTAGACTGGAACTAGAGTGATGAGATTCCAAAAGCCCTTGTGAAGTGAAGAGGGATTTTCAGGGAGGAACAGAGCACTTGTATTCTTAATTAGAAAACATCAATTCGGTATCAGAGAGGCAAGAGGCATTTAATATACAGCTAGCAAGCTAACCTCCAGGTCTCAAGTGGTAAATGCTAATACAAAGCTTTCCAGATGAATCACTCACAGCCCCAAATGGGCCAGAGGAGTCTGCTGCTCCTTCTCCCACAAAAATGTGAGCACTTCCCATCTCAGAGGTACTGCAGAAAACAACATGAGCTGCCAGAAAAACATCGGGTGGATTTGTGCCTTTTAAAACTCAGCAGAATGTGCTATTTAAAAAAGACAAACTAATGGCCTCTGGAGAGATACTCTAACCTCACTATATATGCTACTTAGTTTAGGATTAATAGGAGGACAGGCCTCATTGTTTTTTAACCAGATTTAAGTGGAACAGATATTATTGCAGGGATCTCTAGAGCCCAGAAGGTCCTATACAAAAGTGAAACTGGCTTTCTTTCAGAGAACATCTTCATTTTCCAAAAAAATTAATATTACTAAATGGTGCACAGAATAAAACTTGTATATAGATCTAGAGGAGGCACAGCAGTAGCAGATTCTCCCATGCTGGCCACCAGTGTGCTCCAATGCCAACACCAAGGGATGACACTTTGAGGAGAAGAGCACAGTCTCCACAGCCACTCACCATCTCACTTTCCTCAGCCTCAGCTAACTACAGCAGGCTTTGGGGTGGAGATGCTAGATGACTCCCACGAGCCTATTTCACACAAGGCACTGATAAGCTTCCATAAAACAATGACTGTCACTACTAGAGTGACTTCTGAACCTAGAGGACTGCAGCAAACATCCATAATTCATCATAATTCATTCAGTGCTTGAACTACATGGGGTCTTGAATTTAGTCCAGTCACACAAAACCTGATGTTCAACTTTTTAGTAACATGATCTGTGGACAAGAACCCAAATCTACCCAGAAAAAAAGAAAAAATCCAGTACTCCCTTTACTAGAAATAGGGATAAAACTCTAGTCTCTTTTAAACTAAAATATATACATATATATTAACACCAAAGCTATTTTTGTCTTTGTACCACAGTATTCACACCTGCAGCAAACACTCTAGTTCACCAAACAACAATAAAGCCCTTGGGCCATCACTACAGAGGACCAGTCTACCTCACACCAATAACAAAGCCACCAACTTTAACAACCCTCTAAAAATAAACACCATATAAAACATTCCATGTTCCACCAGGTCCACAAATGGAGTAATTATGTACCAAATCTTCATAACTGATACCTTCAGTTCTTTGGGTTTGTAGTTAGAAAGCAAGCAAGGGTTTCTTACTCTCCTATCCAAATCTTATTAAAACCTAAATGTTTTTTCACCTTCTCTTTCCTCACATTGGGATCTGCTATTAAAAATGGAATTGAAATCAGATGGAACAGGTCATAGACTGTTTCCAGCAGTAGCAAGAAACCCCTACCTGAAGTCTGAGGGGAAGCTTCAACTTCCAAGTTGGCTGAGAAGCGCTCGCTTTGAGCTCCAAGGACTCCAACGGGCAAAGACTGGTCACCAGAAGCCAGATCTCCTTCCAGCTCCTCACTTATGGGGAAAGTAATGTCACTAACAGGTTCTTCCTTAATCTTCACAGGCTTTGTGTCTTCTGATGCCTTTTCAGGGTTGACAATCTTCTCATACTCTTCAGAGAGCTGCTTGCTAACCTGTTGAAGACCAGAAGAGGTGAAAGAGAGGCCAGAAAGGTCAGAGTGACTTCAGAGCCTCTGGTGGCAATTACACTGCAGCACACTCTGTTCCCAGAATATCATTAACATCTGACCTGAACAAACAAGTGAAGAGATTATCAGCTACACAGAAAAGATTTCTTCCCCTTTAAGAACACCTTCTGTCCTGTAACAAGGGACTTTAATAAGAGGTTTAATCCATTAACACACCTGCTTGATAAAGATGAGAACATTTATTTCACAGATAGTGATGATGAAGCCCAGAAATTTAAACAGAGCACAAAACAAAAGCAAAACACCTCAGTCTTACTTTTGGGTGTTATCTGTAAGTCTGTCTCCCATCCACCAGTAACAAATTTACACCAACATTAAAAAAACAAAGAGCTCAGATATTCATCAGCTCTGTAGTCACCACTGGGTGAAGCCAGGGTACATTCACAGCAAAAAACACAGAAGTTTTCTCCAGTCAGAGAATGGAAACAAAGACAGGAACAAGATTTAGAATTGCCCTGTACTTCTGGAAACTCAACAACTGGAAGAAATTGAATTAAAAATTTCAGATTTCATCTGCTTCTAACAAATCCTTGTTTATACCACTGAATCCCAGTGTGCAGTCAGTGAACTGTACACAGGACAAGCCCAAGGCTTTTTAACAGCAGAAACAAGAAAGAAAAACAGTAACAAAGCCTATTTCCCCCTTCTAAATACACTTCCAAATACAGAGGGTACTGTGGACCTCAGCCCTGCATGAAGGACAGAATAAATAAGGCAATGACCAGCTGCTGAATCAGCTGAACAATGCAGAAAACCCAAATTCCAGAAGGAGATATCTGAACAAAAATTACCTGTTGTGGGGTTTTGTTTTGGTTGGGTTTTTTTGTTTGTTGTTTGGTTGGTTTTTTTTAAATACAACGTTCCTAATGAAGACAAATCTTGATGATGTTATTGTTATGCACAAACTTCACAGTCCAACACAGTTTACATGCTACACATACTTGCAGGTGTCTCCAGTTTATACTGCTTCTGTAAACCACAAGGTGCCCACACTGGGAAAAGACAAAGCACAAAGTAGCTGCTCCAAGAGGAGTCAGTTGACACTCAATGTGACAAGGAAGAGGGGATGGCAGGTTTTGCCTTTGGTCATGGGCTGTCTACTTGATTCAAGTTGTTATTTGATGGTGTGAGTAAAATTCCTACTTCAAATTCTTGTGTTTCTATGAGTCTGCAACAGGCAGTCTTATACAACTCAAAATGTGTATGTTTAACTTCACAGAATAACTGGACCAAGAGAAACCCATGGCACCTCTTATTCCAAAGAATTTAACAACTCCTCTTCTTTCTCCACAGCTCTCTAGAGTTGAAGGTAGCACTTGTTTGACAACTCAGACCAGCACACTACTACCCTATACTCTTTAAAGCTTAAGTCACCCCTGCTTAAATGAACACAAGCCACTGTACAGCCAAGTAATTTTTGTTCATCTACTTACTTGTCTTCTGAAATGATAAGCTGCCAAATATCCCATTAAAGCAGAACATTCAGTTAATCAGTCAGTACTGATTTTACCTCTACTTGATATTTTCATCTGGGCTACTCAAGAGCTGAGAGCTTCCTCTTAAACCCAGCCAAACCATCAGTGGAGCACTTTTAGCAAACCCAGACAAACCACCAATGGAGCACTCAGCCTCAGTAGGGACACAAACAGGGGGCTCTGTGTTCCAGCCAAAAAAAATGCCTTTTCTCCTTTCTTTGATGACTCACTCTCCTCCACACCCAAGAGGTTTTCTAAGCTGATTTTACTCCAGTGAAACTCAGGACTCGCTATGGGACTAAGCAGTGGGGGCTATTCTGTCCAGGTTAGAAGGCAGAACTG